TTTTTAAAGAACGCAAGTTTTTTCTATAGGTGTATGCCAGCATACATTTAACAACTGACTCTCTAAAATAAAATGCACTGATGATACACTGTTAACTTTAATCTGTAGTATTTCTATTTTCTCTATCACTTTCTTAAGTTTAGACAACAAGGTAAACAGCCTTCGTTACATCCTCTCATTTTACAGATGACAAACTGAAAGTAAGGGGAAGGGGAGGCAATTTGCCCAGTCAGACAAGTAGCAGTTTCCATTTGACATTTTAGAGGAAGAGGTATCACCATTCTGTTGCTATTGTTAGTGGTAATTGTTGTTTTGGATGTGTGTGTTTAAACTCCCTCTTTGTATCTGTAGCTTCTGGCTTAGCCGGGCAAAAGAGCTCTCATGTCAGTCAACTCACATTCCCACATCAAAAGCATTGTTTGTTGTTATAAGGACATCTCCAAATAACAATTAGGTAAAAATTTCATCAAATGTAATGTTTAATGTCAATAAATTTCCCTCCTCTTTGGGGTTCTGTACCTCCTTTGACCTGATAAATGTAATGACAATGACCATCAGCAATGGAGAACATCCATTGTAATAGATTGAATGGTAGCACACTGGTAGAGTTTGTTCTGATTTACTTTGTTTTCAACATTTTGTCATGAACTTCTACACATCATAACTGAGGATCTTAATGGGACCACCAAGCAAATGGTATTGTCCTTAGCTTTTGGAAAGCTGAACCCAGGTTTTCGTTGTGGGGTTCTCACATATGGGGAAGGCTAAAAAGCAGGCAACAACTCCTAGGTCATTCATTCATAATGTGGCCAATAGCTACCAGGGGCTGATGAACATACACAAATACATACCATTGATAGCCTTCCAATGATGTCAACTCCCATCAAAGCCTTTTGGAAATGATCTTAGAAATCCTAATGCCCACCCCTCTAATTTTTACAGATTAGGAAAATGAGACCCAGAAACATGAAGAAATTGTTTGTCCAAGGTTTCACAACTAGTATGTTGACAGAGCCAAGATGTAAACCATTTCTCTGGCTCCAAATCCATCCCTTACCATATTTCCTCTGTTTAAATTAAGACAGTACACTTGTTTCAGGCAAAGATTAGATTGGGCTTGATGAAGCATTTGACCTGTAGGTATTCACAGAAGTAGTTATTGTGCTGAGATACAAAGGACTTAACTGTCCAGGAGCAGCACAAGAATATATAGTAAGCATAGTTTCTCCTGGACTTCCTATTCTTCTGTGAAGACTGGTGACCACAGTTGGTAGTGGCTTGAAGGAACCTATGCAGTGGTTTGCTAGCACATGTTTAACAACCAACTTTCCAAAAATAAATGTATACAAGACACACTTTGTGTTTAATCTGCATTATTAATCAACATTTTCTCATTCACTTTCTTAAGTTGGGACAATCAACAAAATAGTAAATGAAGCCCTGATCTGTAATGTTTGCCAATTTGTGAGATGTAAATAAAAATTTACACAATGAAAATTTAACAATAATTTCTGGATAGTCAGTTTGAGCTGGCTCCAGCATACCCCTGGAACTAGGGGTTTCATCAGGTACAAGAAGCTAAGAAGCCATCTATAGGGTGACCCACATATACTTCTTAAAAGGCCCCAGTTGCTCCTTACATCATTTCATTTAGGAGGTTCCTTATTGGTTTAAGCTAGCGAATTTTGGTGGTATTATTGTTCAGTTATTCAGTTGTGCCAGATTCTTCATGACCCTGTGGACCATAGCCCACCAGTACAATCCAGGGAGTTTTCTTAACAAAGTTTTCTTAACAAAGTGGATTGTCATCTTCTTCTCCAATGGATTAAGGCAAACAGAGTAACTTGCCCAGGGTCACACAGTTAGTGAATGTCTGAGGCTGGATTTGAACTCAGCTCTTCTTTACTCCAGACCCAGTGCTCTATCTGCTGAGCCATCTAGCTGCCTCTTGACCCCTTCATAGCCTAACTCAGTTGCTGGCCTACCACAAACCCTGAAAGATCCAAGGAAGTATTCTGGAGAGAAACACATGAAGTGTTTTACACTGTTGTAGTAAACATAAGAATCTTGTATCATTGAGAAATGATGTGAAACAAACATTTAAATGATTACAGGAAAAGATTAGGAAAATAATTGTTTAAAAGACCTATCAATATTTATGCACATGCCCCAGCAGAATGTAAGTTTCTTGAGAGCAATGGTCCTTATGATGGTGCAGGACATAGTAGGTACTTAATAAATGTTTTTGGATTAAATTGGGAATACAAAGTTATCAAATACTTATTTTTATTAAGTATTGGTGATTGGCAATTCATTTAAAATTAACCAAATTATAAAATCTTTTGGTGTCATAATGGAGGGAAATTCTATTGATTTTGATCTTTCAAAACATATTCCTTGGTGCTTCATGTAAAATACTAGATTAGTGAAACCTTTGATCAAAATGCCCAGTGTTCAATAAATCATCGTGTACAGAACACCGTACTGTTTGTAGCACAGCATGGCAAAGTTTCTGCTCATTTTAGCTTTGATCAAGTGACAGGTACTTTGCTTTTATGTTTTTGCCTCTTGAGGCAGCAAGGTGATGCTGTAGATAGAGTGCTGGACATAGAGTCAGGAAAATCAGAGTTCAATTCCAATCTCAGACACTTATTAACTATGAGACCCTGAACAAGTTTCTTAACCTCTGTCTGCCTTAATTTCCTTATCTGTAAAATGGGGATAATAATATTTACCTTCCATAGTTGTTGTGCTTAAAATACTATATAAATGCTATCTATTAATATCTCAAGAATTTCAAGTGATAATAAATTTAGTTTGGATCATGAATGCCCTCTCAGACTGGCTTTAGAGGTCTCCCCAGGGAATGACTGGCATTTCTCATAGTCAAAGTGAAAAGAGGACCTCTCCACCCCCTCAATGTTTTAAATAAAAATTTTGTCTATGAGCCTTGGAATTTAAACTTGCACCACAAGTTCAGTGTCTTGGCTGCTAAGATCTATCGATCGCAAGCAGAATGAGACTTGATAGCTCTTTAATCATGGTAACTCACCCTACACAATTCCATTACTACCAAATGGCTGTGTGGTTACAGAAAAGACAGTAATGATACTATGGTACTTGAGAATGACCTTGAGGTTAAATAAGAGACTTGGAAAATGATACTGCCTCAAATAAGGGGAACAGGAATGACAGTTTTGCAACTGCATCCTGGCATTGTTATTATTATCATTATCATTATTATCATTGTAATTATTTTTCCTATTACTCTCATTACAAACAGGTTGACCAATCTCAAAATATTGATTTGGTATTCTTAATTACACTCTAATAAGCTGTAAAAATTGGAAATTGTGTTCAAGATCAACAGGGTGACTCTCTGACCACTTTTCTTGGAATTACCAAGTCAGGTCCAGAATCCAAGAAGCTGCTACACAGCTACTACTGTTTCCCTGTTTAATTATAGCATTGTGTGAAAAGATTCACTGCAGATTTTGTGAAGAGCTATTCCCAAACACTACGGACAGGGAAGAAGGCATATAATCATCATCATCATTTCCCACTAGACATTTGCAGCTGAATATATTTCTAAAAGAGCCATTTGAAAGGAAAAATTGTAACCCTTGCTGGGCTTTCCCTCAGAAATGATGCTATACCAAATAGCAAACTCACAGCTAAAGACGACAAATTCAATGTGATTTTGTTTGTATTTCTAAGTCAAGATAAGAACTAGTAAAAATCCAGGATCATTTGAAAATAACCAATTGGGCAGGCAGAGGTGTAAAGAAAGGCAGGAAGGGGCCCCTTTTGAAATTTTTGCTGATGGACCCTGGAATTTCATTTTGTGTCTATGGTTCAAGGATTTACCCTTGTTTTGATTATTCTCTTGTTTGCCTAGCTATGTTGATCTCAGGCTTGGTAGCTCTTTAATCACTGTGATTCTTTCTAAGCTATTGTTTGGCTATGGCTATCACAGAATCACATGGAATATCAGAGATGGAAGACACTTTAGAAGGTAGCTTCTCTAACCTTCTCATTTACAACTGTAGAAACTGAGGCCCAGAGAGAAGCAACTTGCCCGTGGTCCTATACCTAGTAAACAGCAGAGAGAGAAAACTTGAAACTAAGTTTGATTCTAAGTCCAAAACAAGAATATACTGCCTCCTGCTCCTACCACCATTCCCAAACAAGCCTGCCAATTTATTTAGGTTAGGGGTACTTTTATGCCTTTACCTTAATGCTTTTAAAAAACCCACTTCTTACAGGGCTTGTCACTCAAATGGTGTAAACTAGTTGATTTGGGTAAAATGATGGTCAACCACTCTTTTGGGTCAAGATGACTTTTCATTAGACAATATAGTTAGGACCATAAGCAATACTTTTTAATTGCTTATAGGTTATAGCAGCATGAGTCTATCCTAATCCAATCTGACTAGTTCTCTAGAATTGTGAAAAAAAGTACAAATCATTCCTAGATATTTACACCTCTCATCCAGATATTTCATCCCCAAATAATACATTCACTTGACTCTATCATTGCTTGCCATGCTGCAAGTACAGATACAATAAATATCAATTCAGTGATTTCATGATCATGGTTTCCATTTCTTTCAAAATAATCAGACTACTGTTTTATTCTACCAAATTTGCAACATCCTGGCTGGTCATTTGTGAGCCCTGATGACCCAGTGTATTATTCAAATAGTTTATGTGCTTTTTTGTCATTCTTGATATGAGTTATCCAGAATTTCTCTTAGGCATCATGGAAATTTGGACAAGTAGGCATTTTTTTAGTTTTATAATGACCTATTTTGAGTATATAGATAATCCTATAGTTCTCTCCCTATGTAGCAGTTAAAATGAGAAAAACTTTGGATTATGCAAGTCATGTCTAACATTAACTGGACAAAAGGAAAAGCTATGTTGCCCATGTAAAGTTGGGTTTATGTGAGTCACATTCTTATAGGTCTTTCTTAATCGATGTTTCTTTTTTATTTCAGATTGGGCTTCCCTATGATGCTTGTCTCCTGCACAGTTGGGATGTGTTATCTGCTTGTTGCGCATGTTGTACTTGGCTGGAATTCCTAAGTCATTTGTCTCTTGAAGACCAGTAGGAATCTGATCAACCGACCGACATCAAGTACATGACCATGCTGAGAAAACTATTTGGAGAAAAAAAAGGGACTTAACAGAGATACATGATAAGAGTCCATACAATAACTGGCAGCAGATGCCACGTTTCTTTTGATGTTTTTCTATTCTGTAACCCTTTAAGCAAAGTTTAAGTGTAAAATAATTGATGACCAAATAGCATCTGGTTTTGTTTTTGTGCAAATACATGAAGTGAATGGACTTGTATTTTTTCAGAGCCACCAATACAAGGGAATATACATTCCTTAAATCATGTTACTGAGCTCTGTGCTTAAAGCCAGGAACAGAAAAACAAAAACAAGATTCAAATTGCTTACCTTTACTTTGTCAAGTATTTGCTCTTTAAGTCTTGTTTGTCCTTAAGTATTCACCTTTTCATTTTAAAATATCCGATATTCAAAGTATATATTATAATGGTAAGTTTTCTTTCCTAAAAAGAGACGTAAAAGTTAGAGAGTAATGTTACATATGTTGCACAAATAAACAATTCCTCTTTCCCCAAAAGACATGTTGGGGTTGATTTCTTAGTTCCTTCACTAGTTGATACATTAGATGATGACAATTTATGCTTTACTTGTCCCTATTGTTTTGTTTTGTTTTGTTTTTCTTTCTGGAGGAAATTTTAAGTCACTGATTATTTTCCTGGAAGCTGGAAGACTGAAGACTATGTCTTGCAGGTCATAATCACGTTCTTTTTTAAAAAAAAATAATTTACATGTTTTAATAAACCAAAGTAATGATTTTCAAGAGAATTTGGTGTTTTGTTTTGCTTGATAAAATAAATGATGAGCTGGGTCAATATCCTCAACTTTGATCTTCTTATCTCAGCCTGCAGTAAGATAATAATCAGTGTCCATTGGCTACCTGGTGTGCAAAAAGCCTGGACTGGGTGCTGGAATCCTCATTAAGAGGAGGCAGAAGTCTTTTTTGTCCCCATTACAAAGAGAAACTATCACTTGTTTTTCTTTAGTTGTTCCATAATTAGACCTAACATCAGTTTCTTCCTTTAGTTTTCAGTCAATTACAAATAATGCTTTCAAATAAAGGGAGGAAAAGCTTTTCTTTCACTCCACTTACAAGCCATACATAATGTTGACTCCTACACTTCTAAATGTCCCTGGGGCACTAAGAACTAGAAAGCAGGAGACTGTAAATCTCTTCCTGGTAATCCTAGTTGAGGGTGACCTTTCCAGACCTTGGAATCTTCACTTGTAAAATAAAATCTGTGATACTATCTTTGTAAAATAGCATCTACTCAATTCCTGGACAGTAAAATAATTATCAAAGCCTTTTGTATAACAGTTACCAAACATCTCTGGAGAATATTATGCTTAACTTTGGTTAATGCATTATGGCAATAGGAGCATCCACTTTGGTCAAATCCTTTTGTGGAAACACTTCTCTAGTTTTATAAGGAAAGAGATATAGTTCTGTATCCCAAAGATATCATAAAAATGGGAAAAGGACCCACATATACAAAAATATTTATAGCAGCTCTTTTTGTGTGGCAAAGAGTTGGAAATTGGGGGAATGCCCATCAACTGGGGAACAGCTGAACAAGTTTAGTATATGAATGTAATGGAATACTATTGTGCTGTAAGAAATGATGAGCAAGCGACTTCAGAAAAACCTGGAAAGACTTGTATGGACTGATGCTGAGTGAAGTGAGCAGAACCAGGAGAACAACGTACATAGTAACAGTCATGTTGTGCTATGACTAACCTTGACAGACTTAGGCCTTCTGAGTAACTCAAAGATCAAGACATCTCCAAAGGTCTCATGATGGAAAATGCTATCCATATCCAAAGAAAGAACTTTGGAGTTTGAATGCAGATTGAAGCATACTATTTGCTATTTTTTTCTTCTGTTTTGTTTTGTTTCCTCTTTCTTGTGGGTTCCTCCTATTGGTTCTAATTCTTCCTTACAACATGACTAATGTGAAAATATGTTTAATAGTAATGTATATGCCTATATCAGATTGCATGCCATTTTGGGAAGGGAGGTGGGGAAGGAGAAGGAGAAAAATTTAAAACTCAAAAGCTTATGGAAGTGATTGTTGATAAATCAAAATAAATTAATAAAAAAATTAAAAAAAAAAACCAGGCTTCCATCATGATAGCCTCTTTAACATTCTGCTTAAATCCACAGAGCTTAAATCCAGTTTAGGTGCTTTGTAAACCTGAGGCTAAGGGTTAGAAGGCTATGGGGCAGGAGGCCCCTCTGAGCCATCTCAGTGCTTCCTAAGCACAACAGTGACAAGAGAATATCTGTGAAAATTAAGTGCTGTATTTCCTAGGTTACCCCAGCTGGGCCATTTGCACTAGGGGTTAAGCTTTAGGGACAACTCAAACTGTTAGGGAGCAGGGGGCAAAGCCATTAGTAGTCCAGGGCTTCTACATGCCTCTTGTATCTTGGTGTTTAGTATAAAATGATGCAGAGATTGATAAACATGCTATTTTGCTATACTGCCAGTGTTGTTTCTCATAGCAGCACGTGATCTGTTAGGACGAAGAGTACTGCTTCCCACAGACTCTGAAACATGCCAAAATGACCCTAATAGCTTTCATTAGGCTCCCTGGTAATCCCCAAAGCAAATTTTGTATCACATTAGAACTATACATGCTGTTCCAGAGAAATTAGCGTCTCTAATCTCACTAATATATCCTTTGCTGGGGCAGTTAGGTAGTACAACGGACAGAGCACCGGCCCTGCAGTCAGGAGGAGCTGAGTTCAAATCTGCTTGCAGACTTGCCACTTACTAGCTGTGTGATCCTGAGCATACATACACACACACACACACACACACACACACACACACACACACACACACATATATCTTCCTCAATATAGACATTTAGCAGATAGCAGGTGCTTCTGCTTCTAGTAAACATGAAACAGCAGGTGCTTCTGCTTCTAGTAAACATGAAACAAAGTACATATTCAGGATGAACCTAATCCTGCAAATTCCTATCATATGAGAACAGAGCACTTTACAAAAGCAGTTTGGTACAACAGAGCACTACTCTTCGACTCAGGAGACCCTGGTTCAAATCTTGGCCCTTTTAAAAAATCATTTTAATCCTTATAGGTATCTTTTTAAAAAAAATCACCTTCATTTCTGAATATGTCACTTATTTCAGTCCTACCTAGTGATTGTTCCCTTGTACCAAAGATAAAAAGAAAGAGACAAAGAGAAAAAAGCTCAGCAAAACAAACCAACATACCCATTTAGTTTTATGTTTGGGAACTAATGGGACAGAGGAAAATCTGTTAGTTGTTTCCCACTCTCTAATCTTTTTCTCTCACCCTCCCCCCAGCTTCCTATCCCCAAGTGTGGGTATTTGCAAACTGACTAACTAGTGTCAAGGGCATATGTTGTAACTGTAGGAATAAAAATAATTTTCTCTATTTAAAGGAACCAGCTTCACTAAGGGTAGCCTCATTAGTGTTATGCTAGGTTCAATATTGGGATTTTTAGACATACAACCATGGGCAGCTGACTTAACCTCTATGTACTGCCCTTCATTTATAAAATAGGGCTATTATTTGTACTACCTGCTTCCTGGGGTTCTTGTAATGAAAACCCTTTGTAAACCATAAAGCACTCTATCAGTGGCAATTGTTATTACAGAATTGGCTAAAAGGAGCCTTCATAAAGAGGCTATATGAAAAAAAAAATAAGGGAAAAGCTAAAAAGCACTATATCAGTGGAAGTTATTATCACAGAATGAGATAAGTTAAAATGAACATTAGAATCTAATGTATGTGTGGGGGGAAAAAAATGAGGCAGAAATGTGGGCCACATACTGAGAAATGGACAGAGCCCTTGACTTGCTTAGGAAGATCTGGGTTCAAATTCCACATCAGATATTTCCTAGTTGGGTGATGTGGGCAAGCCTCTTAACCTGCCTGTACCTTGGATTCCTCATATGTAAAATGAAGATGTTGAACTTGACGGACTCCAAAGTACATTCTGCTTCTACGGTTATAACCCCGTGAGAGTAAAGCATACTCTCATGAAGATTTTCTGATAGGTGCCATGTTTATAAGTTTTACTTTTTCTATTGTATTATAAACTTCTTGAAGTCTGAAGGCATCTTGAAGTTTGAAACTTCTTGAAGGTAAGATGACTTATGAGCTGTATCCCCTAAATGTCAAGGATTGTGTTTTGCACATATAGGAGGCATTCAATAATTGTTAATGGAATGATCCATCTCCATGGGTCCTGATACTCTGATACCAATGGGGTTCAGTGACTTGAAGTAACTGTCTTTTTATACAAAATTATTCTACAAGTCCCCTAAGTCAATCACCAAGATGTCATACTCTGTTACTCTACTGGACTTTAGATAGAAAGTAATGGCTAATGATAATGCCCTTTCCCTCCAAGTTTCTTCTAAAACAGCTGTGATGATGGTGACTGAAAAAGCAGGTCAGGCCATTTTGAACCAATGGACAAGTCTAGAGTAAAATTTAGCACTCTCTGTTAAAAAGTCTTTTAAGGACTTAACTAGGTACATCCAAAAGATCATAGATTTACTGCTGGAAGGAACCTTAGATAGATGTCGCCTAATCCAATGTTGGTATTTTCCAAATGCAGAAACTGAATGCTACAAACCAGCAGCAAGAAAAAGGGCAAGGATAGAAACCCAAATCCTCGGACTCTAAATCTAGAATATGTTCCATTATTTCATGCTGGAAGGGACCAAGAATTCTAAAGCCCCCCCCTTCTCTAACTACCCTTCAACCCACAATGGCCTCTCATGTGGCACGTGAGGTCATAGATCTAGGGCTGGAAGAGACCTCGGAGGCCATCCAGTCCAATGTTTTTGATTTACAGATGAGAACACTAGAACCCGGAGAGGTTAAGAGACTTACCACGTCACACAGGGAGAAAGTCTCAGAAGTGGAATTTAAACCCAGGCCACTTGACTCCAATTGCCTGTGATCTTTTCACTGCACCACAATTACAGTTTTGACAGCTTTTGTGTTATTATTGACTTTTCACATGCGTATGGCTTGTCTATAATTCAAGATTACTGAGAATAAGAACTTCCATATCCTACAAAAACTACCTAAGTGTTATGTATACAGTGTGCATTAAAAAATGTTTGTTTAAATCTTATTTTTTTTTACTTGGTTGCTGGCTTCTAGGCCTTTGGGCTCCAACTAGTATTTAGTCATCTAAATTACTCTTCCTTGTATATTGTGTCACCGTACAATTCAATAATTTATCATTGTTTGAGTAACATTTTTGAGAAGCCAGGAAAAAAGTTATTCAAGGGAACAGTGTTTCCTTCTTTGTCAGAATGTCTGGTCTACTGAGAACAGCATCTTGGCTAAGATGCTGTTATTGTTGCTATATTAGTTTTAATTATCATGAATGTTTATTAAGCAACAACAATGAATACTGCCCTGTTTCAAAATTATTCTGATGGAACATGTGAATAAAAGGAATTGTGAAAGTGGACAAAGGGATTTGCTATGCCTAGGAAAGCAAGCAGGTCTCAACAGTTCTGTTACAGAAGGTCACTCAGGATGGAAATGATAAGCTCCTACTATTCAGAATGAAACATGATTAATATAAGGAGCACTGGACTGGGAACTAAGAGAGTTTGCATCTAGTGTTGGCACTATATTGCCTTCTAGCTGCATGACTGACCACTTTCCTCACCTATAAACT